CCGGTGCCAGAGTGTTTAGTCAGTCACGGTACAGCAACCCTGAGCCAACCAGCCTGTCTGATTCTCTGACTCCCCTGAAACCAGAACCTAAACCTAATCAGTTTTTTTGTCTTCTCTGCTTCTTAGGAGGAAACCTGACTGAACCCTGGAACTCTGGAAGAGTTTCTCTGCTGAAATCTGCCGGCCCTCAGGAGGTCATCTGAAGAATCTAACTGTCTGAACCTGCCTGCCCGCCCTCAAGAAGAGGATCGGAAGAAACTCTGGATCAGAACACTGATAAGTCTGAAGTCGAGCCCTGCCGTTGCTCAGCCCTCAGCCTGCCGTCTGCCTCTAAACCCAAACCTGCAGATCTACAAGCCCCAGCCTAGCCAAGCCTCCTCCGAGCCCTCAGTCTGCCGTCAGCCTCTGAACCCTCCTGGTTCCCCCTTCTGCCTGCTTAGCTCAAAACCTTTGAACAGAGAAACCAGTCGAGACCAGCCCCTGGACCTGATTACCCCCCCCTCCCCGATCTGTTTATTCTCTTTATCCAATAAACCTTTGAACTTTTTCCCCAGTTTCCGAGTGTGTGTTCTGCATGTGGGCTAGCATCCAGAAACCCATCATGACAGGATCAGGCTACAGAATCTGCACCAATACCAGAACCAGTTTCAAAGTCAAACATAAGAATTGTGACAAGGGTGAGGAAACAGGGTAAAAAGAATGATCAGAGTCAGAGACCAGATTTAAAACTATGCTGCTCAATGTGAGTGATCACAATGAGCAGCAGACTTAGAAAATAGAATAAGAACCATGGTCAGATTCAGAAAAGGAATTTGGTAAATGGCCTGTATTTATATAGTGCCTTTTCAAGCCAGGGAACTTCCAACTGCTTTACATCACATTCAACCAATGATGGGGACATACTGTAGCTATATGAGGAGACAGTTATTGAAATGGACAGAGCAGAAGTTCAAACCATCCGGTTGAAGGACAAAGCTTTGCATCCTACATCAGTGTCATCCCTATTATTGGATATTTGAGTCATGCAAGAATAGATAAATAAAAATACATCAGAACCCAAACTAGAAGCAAAAAAAGTTCAATCAGAACCATAATTGCTTTCAAAAAATTACAAGCCATGGACTCAAATTAAAGAATCATAAGTAGAATCAGAATAAAATACAAATTTCAGCTTAGAAGTAGATATTAGAATCAGCATAAGAAATATTCAAGCCAGGGTCAGAAGCAGAGTCAATAAGCTCCATTACACAGTTATGTTGGTTTGTAGTTTTTTAACTCACATGCAGAATCACAAACAGACTTAATGAGTTTTAACTTTTTATTTAAAAAAAGCAAGAAGAATCTGGAAGCTGAGAACCGTAGGAAGTAAGTTGAACTTTCTAGTTGGTCTGAGGGGGAAAGTCTGACTGAAAGGGGAATTAGCATGGATCTCTAGGTGTTTGATTTAGCATGCTTTGCAGACTGTACTCTAGAGGTCTAGGGGAATGAGAGTAAAATCGAGAGCCTTGGTCCTGGAGATGTGCTGGAGAGCAGGCAGGCAGGTGAAGTAGAGTGAGAACTGCTGCACAGAGGTAAAACCTTTTCCATGAAGATCAGAGACTTTCTGAGATTCACTGGTTGTGTGGAAAAATAAGACAAACTTCAACAAGAAGGATATTCCTGGTTAAGGTCTTTAACTGGAATACAATTATATATAATCATCTGGCGAAGAGAGATTATCCTAGATAGGACAGGCTTGATCAGAGAGACATGAAAAACAGGATGAATCTTTAAATGGTCTGGCAGCTTGAGGCGAACAACAGTGACTAGATTTCAAATGGACTGATAAATCTGGGAGAGTTTTCCGTTATAAGCCTTTAGGTTAATGTCACGAGTTAAGAACCAAACCTATTGTCCAGGCGCGTACTGGGGAGCAGGAATCCTTTTGCGATTGGCCAGAAGTTGATTTACTTTCATTGACCAATTCTTGGCAGAAACCATCAGGTTTCAGATCCATCTGCTACACAGAATACAGCTTTTGACAGAGGTAACTAAAACGTCCTGCTTATTAGATGGAAACAGGGGAAGTTGGGAGGACTCAAATGGAGACAGACCAGTAGCAATGAAGGTGTGACAGTTATGTGCGTATTTTACCCAAGGCAACTGGGTACTCCATGAAAATGGGTGTGATCAAAAGAGGCAGCAGAGGGATGCCTCAAGCACCTGGTTCATGCCTTTGGATTGACCATTTGTTTGGGAATGAAAAGCTGAGAGCTTAGAGCAGTCTTGGCCCCCAAAGAAGTACAAAACTCCTTCGAGACCCTGAATATAAATTTCGAACCCCTGTCTGATAGGATTTAAGAAGACAAAACAAGCTCACTCAGTCCAGAACACACAGAATATGATTTAGTATCCGATCCAACAGAATATTGTGTCGGAGAGGTTGTGGCGTTTAGTGGTCATTAAAAGTCAATGGGGCTTGCCTGGGCTGACTGAGATAGACCCCAGGTCTTTTTTAGTCAGGCTATATAGCAATTCGGCTGCAATTTCACGGGTTTGACTTGAAAAGAAATGTGGTTACAAAGTAAAACAAATCCACTTTGGTGGAAAATACAAAATAAAAGGGGAACAGGGAAAGAGTCAAGTTTAAGAGTTGCACATCACAAATATAGTAAGTGGGACAGACTTTGCAAAAACAATGAATGAAAAAAAGAATAATAATAATATCATATCCAAATAAAGTAGGAATTCAGGATAACGGATAAAGTAGTGATCAACAGGGGACAGATAGTGCAGTTTATCAGTTTCCTCGAAAAAAAACTTCAGGAGAAAAACGACTATAGAAAAATAGTGATCCTCTTTCAGCCTCACAAAAAACAAATTAACGAGGGGCAGACAGGGCAGGTAAGTGTGGCGTATGTCCTTCACCTGTTTATGAAAAAAAAAGAAAAACTTAAATAAACTTCACAGATCTCTCTCTGAGAATCACCTTGCACTGCCTCAGTCAGCATATAAACTGTCCCACAGCGTTTATTGCTGTGCTTTTCTTTTTTTTAAATGTAGATATCATTATATTTTTAATACAGGCATATGAACATACTCTATCTATTCTGGTTTGAGATGCTGCACAGACTTCTTAAGTGGGACTTTGCTTTATAGAATGCACCAGTGTTTCTTTTATTTTTGTATTTATCCTTTTTTTCAATAACTTTTCAAAATCTGTCCAAGTCAAATGTGGGAATTGTTTTAATTTGTGTATATCACAAAGACAGAAGTGAAAATAATCTGCACAGAACTGCCCTCCCTGCCTTGTTGGGACCTCTTCACACTCAGTGTGACAAGAAAAAATAATCGAAGATTAAAAAGTTGTACGCAACCAGTGTGTTCAGACCTTTAGTCTTACTGAAAACCAGATAAAGTTCATGATACTCAGACAGAACCAGGGAGAGGTCTACTGCAGTTTCCTGTTTTTTAGAATTTAAGACTCCAGACACAGACAGTTGTAGACAGTTTTACAGACTGAAGGGTGAGCCAAAAGTAAAATAAAAAAAATCGGAAAATGAAGAGAGTTGGAAAAAAACACCTTCTTCAGTATGATTGCCTGACACAAGAAGTTTTATTGGTTCCATTTGGTGTATGTTTACATGCAGAGGACTTCCATCTAGAGCCCAGACATGAACTGGTTCAGTGGTTCATATGGCTGGAATCTCCTGAAAAACAGGTTAGTGACCACGTAACTCTCACGGGGGATGATAGCGAGCATTTGAGTCACTAACCTGGTTAAAAAGTTCAGTCTGAGCCACAACTTGCTTGATTTCTACCACATGCAGTGAATGCCTCCCAGAGGGTTCCAGGAGTCGAAGCCAAAGTTGTTGCAGAGCAGACCGAAGAGCAGAAGCCAACAGACGAGGAAGAGTAGGAGTTTCTAGAAGGAGAAGCCAAAGCCGGTGTCCATGAGGAAGCAGAAGTCCAGGACAGGGGATCAGAGATCCAAAGAGGTACCATAGGGAAATCCAAGCCGGGGTCAGGAGACAGATTCAAGGTCGTGAGCAGGCAGAATCCAATGAAAGATCATTGGATTCAGATCAGAACAGTGGTAGGCAAACTCTGAAGTCCAGAAGCAGAAACTAGTTCTGATCAGGCAATCAGAATAAACAAGCTTGGTACACTAGAGAACCCTCACCTATGGCTTGAATAATCTGGTACTGATGGCTGGGACCAAGCAGTTTAAGTAGGAATTGGTACAGGTGTATCTGATGAGTGATAATGAAAACAGGGCTGAGCTAGGCAGGTGGAGGAAATAAACAATAATCCAGTCATCAGTGCCAAGATCATAACACAGGCAGGGTTTTCATCCAACGTTGTCGTTCGTCAGGTGACATACACATATGCACAGTGGTGGTCAAAGTACTCAGTAGTAGTACTTGAGTTAAAGTATTGATACTCATAATGAAATCTTACTCAACTTCAAGTAAAAGTTTCTCGATCAGACATCTAATCAAGTTAAAGTATTGAACTACTTACATTTGAAAATACTTAAGTATCAAAAGTACATGCTTTTAGAAATATATTCAGAGTAATTTTAAAGAACATTGTAACTTTTAGAAACCACTTGATGTATTGATGGGTAGAACCACCTGCTACAGATTCTACACCACTTGTGAAGAGCTTCTGCTTTAAAAAGGTCACAAAAAATAAACACAGCTATTTTGTAATTATTTCTTATTTAGAAACAAACCAAAAAGAAAAACAGGAAAGTCTTGAAAGTCTCCTCAAACTTTCTCTATGGAATAGAGGTTTAAGGTTGTGTCCATTACTTTACCACAGAGACACCAGAACTCTAATGTGAGAACTCATCCTACATAACAACTTTGACACATGGCAACAACTATCGGCTTGATAAAATTTACTTCAAATGATATCTGCCCTGAGTTTTGCATATTTTTGAATTGTCATTAAATTTCTAAAACAGTGGTGTCCAAATTCAGTCTAAAGAACTGCTCTCTGTCATGTTGAAAATTGCATCTCAAGAAAGAAAAACAGCAACACTGGAATACAAAGCTAAGTTGAGCCAAAAGTAACAAGTAACTAGCAGCTTCCTCGAAATGGAGTAGAGTAGAAAGTTATTTTTAGGTTTATTCAATGATGATTATAAAATTAATGTGTGCTTTTGAAACGTTTTTGCGAGGGGATGCTCCACTCCTGTCTCATGATTCTGTCAGGAGACCATCCTGCCTTGTCATTCTGATGGAGCATTCTGTCTTTATGAACTTATCAATTGTTCTGTCAGAACAATACTCTGTTTGTAACCATGTGTCATGTTCTGTTAATACAATGCTCTGCATAGGAGGTCCAGTGAGAGAGTCTGGGGTTCAACTGTCTCTGAATTGTATCCATAATTGTGTATTTCAGTTCTTCTTTTGCAAAAACCTACATTTTATGACCCCCCCCCAAAAAAACAAACAAACAAACAAACAAACAAACAAACAAACAAAACAAAAGTACTCCGGTAAAGGAAAGATACTAAAAAAAAGTACTTAAGTACAGTAATCAAGTAAATGTACTTTGTTACTTTCAACCACTGGGTATTGCCAATCTGCACCAATTCATCTATATCTAGCCAAGAAGAGTCAGAAGTTTTTGAAAGATCTGAAGGGTGAGATTGGGGAAGAGGTTAATTATTCCATTGTTTTGCCAAAGTTCTCTCTCAAAATCTGTTGTCAATGTGAAATTAAAGGGAGATTAGTTCCTGTAGAGTTTTAGACTTCTCTCTGCACACTAACTCATCCTTAATACTTTCATCCAAGGCTGAAGAAAAGCTCCTTTTAACGCTTCAGGGTTCCAGGCTTAAGAGGCAGCTAGTTCGTAACTCCATGGGAAAGTCTGATACTTACTGGTTACCCTGTTTTATATTCCGCATCTTACAGCAAATGTCAGAAACTGACTCAGTATATATCTGTGACTCAGTTTATCCGAAGGTCTGTTAAACTCATAGATAAACTGGTCAAGGAACATTTGGAATTGAAACTCACCTGGTTTGTCTCATTCAAGCAGCACTGTGATCTCAGCAGGATCTTCAGCAGGTTCAGGTTGTTGTAACGAGCAGCTACATGCAGACAGGTATCACCCACCTGAAGCAGGAGCATAGGTTCTGTTTTCCTGAGACTGGAGTATTGGCGAAATGTTTACAGATCCTCTTCCCCCACCTTGTTTTTGGCTTCAGGATTCGAGCCTGCAAGCAGAAGAAGCTGAGCGGTGGGAGCATGTGCGTTTTGACAGGCCAGGTGAAGCGCCGTGTTTCCTGCCTGAAACATTCAGAACACAATGAAATGAGGACCCCAGGGGATCTTTTCAGTCCCTGCTTAAAGTGGTGATCAGAAATCACTTCAGAGTTGGTCTGACAGGCTGGGCGGGGATAAGTGAGAAAGATTGGTGGGTTTATTTCTGTCAGAACAAACTCCTGCTGATTGTCAGGTTAATTTAAGAACTACCGAAAAGTATAGTTTCTCTGCAGATCCAATCAGAGGGCAATCTTTAAGAGGAGAATGTCACAGTTTTAAAGGTCTGACTTTACTTAGTGTAAACATTAGGACACAATCAGGGTTTGGATTTGAGTCGTGATGGGAAAACCACTTCTTTCAGGGGTATCATTTCAATACATTTAAGACAAACAGGTTATTTTCTAAACTCTGATTAAAGTTATATTCTCCATGCTGACACATTCTCCAGCTTTTTCCTCTACCAACAGCAGAAATTTTGTTTTTCTTTGTTGTAAAAATCTCACAGTCAAAGATTTTTTTCCACTCTGATATTGAGAACAACAGCTGAGACAAGCTTTTCCTCTGATTACCTTGTTCTTGACTTGCATGTCAGCTCCGGCCTTAACGAGCAGTTTGACGCACTGAGTGAATCCATGCCAGGACACCTCATGGAGTGCTGTGTTTCCAAGCTCAAACACACAGAACGTTGCAGTCAGAATAAAGAAACGTGATCAGTAGATCTACACACTGTTAATAAGAACTTACTGGATCCTGCAGGTCCAGAGCACAGCCTCCAGCTATCAGAGCAGCCATGGTCTCACTGTTTCCCACAATGGCACTACGGTGAAGTGCTGTCTGATGCCCAGAGGCCTGAAGGAGAAAGAGAAGTATAAAACAGACCCTCATCACCAAGCACTAGTTATCTTTAAATCCAGCCTGATGCATTTCAATGATTTCACGTTATACAACTCTTGTCTCTGGAGACTAAATGTTTCCAAAAGTGTGTCTTCATGCAATTTTAATGACTTTCATTTTGACTGGATAAATGGATGGTTCAGCTTCCTGTCAAAAATGTTCTTATCCATCTCTTCACCTTCTATAATCACTTATGTTTGGATTTTAAATGCTGCACATTTTGAAGACTTTTATTGCTCAAAGGGCTATTTATCTTGGAAGACTTTGACACCTGTAATGTTACAAAGCTAAGAATTTAAAGACATTTACTCCATCACAGCTTCACTCCTTAACATTTGCATAACTGTGCACCGTCACACCTCCCCTAATGTCTACCTTAACTACTGCAGTTCTGCACACCTGTGAACCTGAATATAAGCTAACCTGAACATTTGTATAACCACTCACCTATACTGATATAGACCTTAAAACATGTGCAACTGGATACTAGTAAATTTTCAGACATTTATGCACCCTTGTACAACTACATTTGTGTGACACTTCACACCTGCAGACTTTTGCATATCTAAAGTGCTACAACATTCTACCTGCAAAAAAACTGTACACCTGCAAAGTTGTGACTCATTAACAGAATTACTTCTGCACACAACACCTACATCTGTATTTCATGCCTAAACCCCTGACACTATCCTCCTCACTACTGTAAAGCTGTATACATTACCTGCACAATTTGACTTTCTCACCTCTACACCTGCACTGCACTTCTTCTGTAACTGCACACTTGGACATATTCAAACCTAAATTCATGTATCTGTAAAACCTGAACAGATGCACATGTACACAGACTAAACCTGCACCTAACATGCTGCACACATTTACAGCCGACTTATCACGCATGGTCTAGCTTGCACACCTGTACTCCAATACTTTTGGAGAGCCACGCATCTGCCAATTTAAAGACCTGCACATTTTTTAAAGGTTGCAAAAGATACTTCTGCACCATTGCTACCTTTTTAGATATAATTATTAATTCTTTATTTCATTCAATTAATTAATCAATTCATCAATTCCTTCATTTATTCATAGATGTACCCCTGTACATTTGTACAGCTGCATAGTTGCATACCTGCACACGTACATCTCTCCATCTCTGCATTTTGTCATGTATTTATTAACCCCTTCAAACCTGGACACATACTCATATCTGTATATACTATTACAAACAGATACTGCTAAACATATATGCAGAAACTGGTTAACATCCTTTACCTTAAATTGAATAGCTTCACCATCTCCAGACCTACAGAGGTCTTTCATGACTGATGGGTCTTCTACTTCCTGTAGCCATAGAAACAAAGTCTTTAAGTCAGGTGGATTTGTACAATGCAGTTTTCTGAAGCCTCTGCATTTTTTGTGTTTTTGATATGTGACTAACTGGGTTTAAGCCATCCAATAGAAGATCTCACCTCGGCTGAACTGAGTGTACACACCAAGTTTTCCATGTCTGAAGATCCAATAGTGTTTCTCCTGCAGAACGCTGCCATTGAGCTGCTCCAGCTGCAAGAGGTAGAAAAAGAAGTAATCTCAGGGAGCTAGTTTAGCTCAGTGTCATGGACCAACCAAAGAGTATTAAAAAGTGAAGAAGTAAGACATGTATAAAAACCCTTTATATATTAGTCTGTGCGTCATGCTCTAGGCTTATGGTCAAACAGCCGCAACATAACGTTATTGTACTGCCTGGGTTTATGATGTTAGAATCTTTTAATGTTCCCCTTTACATGATGATATAAAGGATTTCAGATCTGATGGTCGGAATGAGTCTTTAATCCTAAACATGGTTTCAAACGAGTAATCGCTTTGTTGTCTCTCTGTTATCTGTATTTCATTATCTCCCTGCAGTTTTCTGAATTACTTTTCATATTTTTTTAATTATTATACTTCTTGGGTTGACGATACAAAGAAGAACAGACAAAAAAACAAAAGGGCGATCTATTGTGATTCCAGCAATATGCACAGTGCAGTTTGTGTGTAGATTAATGTGGTTAAAGGGAACAATCTGATGGCTTTTCTTCTTTTTTAAACAGATCACATACAGCAGTTAGACATGAAGGTAGCATGTTATGTTCAAACTGTTTGAAAAACTTCCTCACCAACTGTCTCTGCTGTTTATAAACCCTAAAACAGACACTTTAATATCAGAAACAAGTACAAAAATATTTTCATAAAGGAGTCAAAATAAACCATTTACCAGCTTTCTTTTGCAATATTATCAAATTGCACTAATAATCTAAATTGTTAGGGAAAAGACCATTGACTTTAATCTGAAAAACTGTTTATGGTTTCTTTCTACTTCTCTGTCTGTGACCCATTAAGCTCAAACTATTAAACTGCTCATCATTCCAAAAAGTAAAATAAGTGAAAGGAAGCTGATTTACCTGATCCGACTCAGTCGCAACTGATTCCTCGACAAAAAAATGAGCATCTGTTTTTAAAAACTCCAGCTTAGCCGTTCAGAACTCTCCCTGCTTTCCGTGGTGAGGATCAGGATCAGCCTCTGCAGCAGCAGCGGACAGATCATTTACTAAAAGGAAGATGTGTAGAGACGAGGACAGCTGTTACAGAGGAGGACAGATTAAAGGAGGGGGGGGACCTGCACCGGTTTTAATGTGGGATAGGGAAACCTTTAAAACCCTGAAAATATCCAAGCTGAAGATCAGAGTAACTACACATATAGATTCCACTATCTATTATTGAACCCAAGCCTCTTAACGTGTTATAGGGGCTATACTAAAGGTTTTGAATAAATTTCACTCAGACACTGTCAGTCAGCAGAAAGAACATCTGAAGCTTTTTGTTAATTTTGTGACAAGCTGTTAGAAAGGAACCAACTGGAGAATTTCCACTGAAGATGCGGAAAATCTAAATACTGAAGCCCCACATGAAATCTAACAGCTTCTCACTCAGAGGCTAAATGCAGCTGGAGGCTCAGCTGGGGATTGATGGGATTCAACAAAGATGCTGCAGGATGTTGGATCTTTGAGCAGGAAGAAAAGTTTGAGGGGCGACAGATCAGAGGATCGTCTGCTCTATCATTATCTAATGAGTGTTTCTGCAATGCACCATACATTTTTTATCTCAAAATGCTACGGTTTAAAATCCTCTCAATTGCTGTATTTGTTATCATAGATAACTACAACAATGATGAAGATGGTGAGGGTGATTTCATTGTGATCAAGGATGTAATGATCGTTGTTGTCATCATCATGGACATCATTATCACTGCCCTTATAATTGCATTTTCATCATTATCACCATCTTCATCATCACCCGGTTATCACAGTTATAATTCTCATTAGGCATCTTCCTCATTAGCACCATCATCCTCAGTGCATTGTAATCAATTATATCTCGATAATTATAACCATCTTTGTCATCATATTATCACCAATTTGTTAGTTAATTCTGCTCTCTCTGTTTTTTCCTCATAGTAGCTTCATCTGCTCTGTTCCTGTTTGGCTGTGATGCTATCCTCGTCTTCTGACATGGGAGTGTCACTAAATGTCGCTAAATGCATGCTTTGTGTGTGGGATTGCCTTTGAGTCAATGCGTCGATGCAATCACTTGGTTTTCCTTAGATAAAAAACTTTGAATCAATTTGAGTCTATGATCTGGTTGAATTGTAGAGTACCTTGAGATAACGTGTTGTGAATTATCGCTCTATAAATAAACTGAAATTTATTGAATTTTATCACAACTATCCATCATGATTGCTAATAAAATCATCCTCATTCCCATGACCATCATCATCTCTATCTTCAGCATCCTGCCATCACAGTAATACTTCTCGTCCTTTATAATTTCCTATATTATTGTTACAGGTATTTTCATCATCCTCACCATTGTTGTCTTTATCATCTTCAACATCATCACCAGCATTTAACATAATCATAGTAATATTGCCATGTTATCATCATACTTATATGATTATTTGTGGGTATGGTTGTGCTCATCATCATCAGCTTTCTTTTAAAATCTTTATTAATGTAATTTTTGTTGTTTTAACAATAATACCATCATCTGATAGACGCTTACCTTAGGGAACTGCTGGCCCTGGAACACCTCGGGCTTCCCCCAGAGGAGCTGGATAGAGGGAAGTCTAGGTGTCTCTCCCGAGACTGCTGCCCCTGATAACTACGAGTCATTTCATCACCATCAGCCATCATAAGCATCATTATTTGAGTCTTTACTTATTTCATGATCCCAGTTGCTTTTATTATTATCACCTTATTATCTTCATCACCATGAAGATGATGATCATTCTATTAATTTTTAACAATTTTTGCCATTTTTATCATATTTATCCTGCATCGTCCTTTTTACCATCATCACCACCTTAATCATCATCATCATCAGAATTGCCATCATCGCCATTATCATCATAACTATCATCTTCAACTTTACCGTCAACATCAACGGGATAACCATCATCATCTTCATCATCATCACCTTTGTCATCTTCATCTTTATCATCATCATCATCATCATGCAGAAATTCATGGCTGTCAGCAGAAACAGAATGAAACCTTTCCATGAATACCAGCTGCTGGAACAAGGTTTGTGCTGCTGCTTCTATTATCCAATGTTGTTCTCTGTCAGATCTAATCTGCTGCACAGCAACCTGAGAAACTTCTCTGATTGCTGTGCAAAACTGATCCTTCTTCATCCTGCTGACTAAAATTGAATCGGGTTGATTGTTCTTCACTAAACTTAATCTCAAGCATTGTCCTTCTGGAGTCCAGGTCTACTTTGTTCTGGAGTTTCAGTAAATTCATCAGTAAATCGAACATTGAGCTATATGAACCATGTTATGCATATCATCTCACTAGCAAGCAGTTGCTGAAGATTTTCAGTGATGCACAGTAAAACCTTCTGAGAAAGAATCACATTGGTTTTTGCCCATGTGCATCAATTAACTTTTAAGTTTTAGCAAAAGATTCAAAACTTTGACAGTGAATGACAGAAGTCAATTCTTCGTCAAATTTACTGTGAGCTTCAACTGAACAAACAAACAAACAAACCAATAAGGTAAAAAAAATAAAATAAATAACTACAAAAATCTAAAACTAGTTCACAATAAACAAAAGTCCACACAAAAATCAAATGACAGCTAGAGAACGCTGTATATGTATAGGGATCAGTTATAGTTTTAAATTCTCTAAAATTGGTTTTCATACATACAAAAAAAAGAGAGACTACCAGAAACGTCATAATTCCATCTTTCTATGTAAAACCCTCCTATTAATTCCCTGAGCCAAAAAATGAAACTGAGGTGGAATATCAGATTTTCATGGTTTCAAATTCATCTTTCGGCTATCACCATTGCATAGGTTACTACTCACTTCAGTAGCCAGTTCTTACAGAGTATGAGAGGAAAAATAGAGCTCTTTCTGATTCAGTGTCAACATTTATTTAAATGCACAGAGTACCATTTAATAATAAATACAAGAAACCTTAGATCTTTAAGCTAAGCATAATAGGAAAGATAGCCTGGTACCGTAGCTACAGAGCATTGAGTTGGTGTGTTTGAGAGAGAACAAGATCTCCAGTTTGAGACAAAGTCCTGCATCTATGTCCATAACCAAGACCCTCAGCCCAGATTCCTCTAACCTGACTCCGCCAGATGGATTTGCTCCGCCTATCCATCTGGAAACCTTCCGTTGAAGTAAT